TGTATGGGCACATGATTAAGTGGACAACCGTATGTACGTTTCTAATGCTCCGGTTTTAGTAAGCTGATAACAAGAGCTGTGTTGTAGGCTATACTCAGTGGCGGAACTACCAGGGTCGCAGAGGTCGCGGCCGCGACCGGGCCCTGGAGTTCCGCCACTTGGAGGGGGGCCAGGTTACTCACACAAATGTGCAAGCATTTAGAGGCATTGAGTTGACTTCAGGATGTTTTACACATCTGCTGCACTGCTCTAATGGCAAAATGCAGGTCAGTGCACCAAAAACACACCATGCCAGATATTTTATCAACACACTGCTACCTAATGTATTGTTGTGAACAGATCCCATTGAAAACCACCTGTCTATTCTTGCTCTTACACTTTGCTGTGTTTGAAAATGCAGGCAAATCGATAGAAAAACGTCCAATCTGGAAGCCCTCACTTCTACTAATCGTACAATAATCCTTCAGGTGCTAAAGAAGAGAGGTCTCTGTTCCTCCTCATGTTCCCCATGACATTAATGATTCACTGATTGCTGACAGAGTGCTAGCTGCTTCACACACTGAAACAGGACTCAAGGTAAGGGTTTGAATTCTATAAGGTCTGACCTTACATTGGCAATTATGCTCAATAGTTTACTCCTGGAAACCTGCTATGGAACACTGGTAAGTGTGCAGCATGGTTGTGGCTGTTTTATATTTAAGCAGCATACCAGCATTTTGCATATTTTTATCAACATCAATATTGCCCAGTTACGGTACAAGAATAGTTAGTTATACTGTTCAAAGGTTATTGTTTAAACTGCCTAAACAGTATCCAATGTGACTAGTAATGGTCACCACACGTTACAATCTTGTACACTCAACTTTAGATTTACCAAAACTATGTAACATGAGGAACTACCTAATCTATTCAATCAAATTGTATCCAATCAGGCAGGGCCTTGCACTACCAAGTTGTTGGTAGATCTAAAGGAGATTGCAAGTAAGTTTTGCAAACATTTCCCTCGGCCTTGAGAATATTTTAGACAGATGGGATATTACCTATGTGAGTATGGTGTAGTCAACCATACAGAACTTGAGTTAGAGATTTTTAACTTGCACATTAGAACAAAAAACATAATGAAAACTATTTACTAAATTTGTTCTATTGCTTACAGTATCAAACTTGTAAAACGGTGAAGTTATGTTTTAATAGTAGGGAAGAAGACAAACACTATGGTGTAAAATGGCAAGTCGGACATGGCATGATGGGAGATGGATCCGTAGGAATACTGTAGCACTCACAGGTAATCAAACAGCGTATAATAGAACTGTGAGAAGCTGATGTAACTGGAAAGATTAAAGCAGAATGAAAGGGCAGTAGAATAGAACACAAGGTTCATCTGACACAAAGCGTGGAGCAAAAAGCAGATGGGTGATTCAAAAAAGAAGAAGACAAAGCAACTGATAGAAGAAAGATAGACCTGGTATAGAATAGAGAGGAGCCCTGTATAGGAATATGATTGTTCCATGCCTCACAGCACAACATTCCAATGTTAGCCTCCTGTTGCTAGGGAACCAGGCATAACCTCCATTGCTAGACAGACACAGCAAAATATGGTCATGCCTCAGAAGAAGCCAACAGCAACAATAAGAGCATATATATTGTTTTCAACCACTATTCACACTAAGGGATTGCACACCGTGCAATTATTGAATAAAATGGGACCATCTTTCTGAATAATATAAAGGGTAAATACAGATTAGCCAGTGCTGCGAAATGCTGGAAAGCATAGAGGATTTAGCAGCATTAAGCCTGACAGTGCAGGTACTTACGCTGAATGTTAATATGTAGCACCAATGTGAACACAAGCCAAACTTCGTTTCACAAATATTCATGTACAACAGAAATAATGCAGTTCATTCTTCATGCATAACGAAGTGTACATGCATCACACACATACACTTCTCGAAGTTGCATCACAGCACATATTTAAATGACGATGGGTTTGTATCACTAATACATTCCTGAAATATATTCATGGACTGCTCTAACTCTCTAAAACGCAGGATGCACTGCCAAAACTGATAAAGGCATGAGAGAAAGTGAATGTGCTTAACATTGTTTCAGTGATTGACATTGGCAATCCCCATGGATTGTATAAACTGTCCCTGCTGTTCAAGCTTAATTCTAAAGGATTTTATCACCCTCTCTGGAGAATGTATTCAGCGAACCCACGCTGTGATTACATAAACTGCATTCAGCAGTGGCTGACTATATAGGAAACTGATGAACTACATTGTACATTGTTGCAAGCTTCAGATTTTAATGCGTACAGGTTTGTTCTACCCACAGCATGATAATACTGTTTTTTTGTAGTGTAATTTATGATAATTATTGACAATGGATCTTTCTATCAATTCAGGTATCCTCTGCTAGCACAGTGTGCTAAAACCTGCAGTCTGCTACCTGTTAACCTGCTGCGAAGTGATTCTCCAGTTTGCTGTTGACAGCATACTGATAGCAAATGTTCCTATTTTCAGAATGCCATGTGTTCCTTCTAATAGATCAAAGTGTGAATTTTAATAGAGTGTGAAGACATGAAATGGGAAATTAGCAAGTAGGAGGTGATTGTATGTGTATTTATAGAGTAGTCTTGTACAGTAAATGGTAGATGTTGATCTTAGCTCCCCTTAGCATTAGTATTTCTAATAAAATCCCTGTTTTATATGCCTTTATAATGACACACTGCGTAACAGTTCAACAAATACTTAAAAACCACAAGCTATCGAAGTGTGTCCTTGGTTAACCCAAGGAATGTTACTCAACCGATTATCCAGTCCTTGGATATATTATAGTTGATGTGTAACAGAAGGTAGACTAGCGGAAACGCACAATTTTTTTAAAAAAACAGATCAGATATTTTGTTTTTACTTTAGACCCCCAACAAGATATTGGGTTTCTAGTTACCTTTAACCCGATTGCATATTCTCAGCAGTACATTTTAGCAGAGCTTGATAAAAACTGGTGCTTTTTAGCAGATTACCCCAAACGTAATCTGTAATTACTTCAATATTCAGTGGGGGGAATTTATCAAAACTGGAGCACATAAAATTTGAAGCAGTTACTGATCAGCTTCTCTTTTCGGTTTGTTCAGTTAAGCTTTGAAAATGAAAGATAGAAGCTGATTGGTTGCCATGAGCAACTGCTCCAGATTCTGTTTGCTCCAGTTTTTATAAATTCCCCCTAGTGTTTCTTAGTGACAGTTTTCCATTGTACTGTCCTCTCATAGGATGTGATTTCTATGACAATATCTGACAGTCTAAGGGCCCCAAGATACACAACCCAGGGTAAATGTCCTCTCATTTCAGAAATAAATACATACATAAATAAATCAAATTTTTAATCCTTCACCTTGTATAGAACTTCATGCATGAACACACCCTGCCTTCCTTCTGAAGGTTGTATCACTATGTACTATGGCTACTGATCCAAACATAAGTACAGCCTTTGCACAAAACAACAATATGATATCTGTCAACTTTCTCTCTGAACAAAGAAACTTTGCAACTTGTATTGTTGTGCAACCAAAGTGGGAACATTGAGTCTACTGTTAAGGGAATGTTTAAACCATGTGCACTGTAACTCTGTTCATAGCAATCATCACTGGGTTATTTGTGAACCTAGCAAACCCCCGTTGGCACTCCCTTACCTCAGTAGTGGTGGGTTCAAAATAAGTATTTTTATGATTGATCTGGAGACCTGTTTAAATAGCTTTTTTTGCTGGCAATATTGCTCTGATGTGGTAAATTGGATGATAATATTTAATTTAAAGTCAATCCAAATACATCAAGCTCAAAGACAAACAGAACTGATTATGGTAATCAGAATAAAGGGAGTATGTAAATAAGAGGCATGCATAAAATCAACCCAGTGAATCGTTTTTCACTCCCCTATGACTCATCTCCATATATTATGTGTGAGGAGATGAAAACAGTGTGTTTGGGATGATTTGGGAACAGGACTCTTGATGTTTTGGATAATCAAGCCGTGAGGGAGCTGTGGTTTAACTATGTTTCTTTGATGTCTTGGCTGTACAGAATTCTTTACTGGTTCATAATATAGATCTGCTTACAGAAACTTTGAAAACAAATGCGCTGTATGTAAGCATGACTACTTTTATTATAAAAGCTGATTTATTGCACATTAGCCACAACTCCAGAGTCTTATTTGCAGAATGTTCTTCACCTGTCTGCTATAGGCGGTATATGCAAAGCCTACATCCACCACCCATGACTCTATGACTGCAAGGGCCTACCAGGCTTAACTGGAAGCACAAGTTATTTCAAACTCCGTTCTTTAAGATATCTGGCCAAGCTATCAAGTGCCACTCTAGCAAAGAGATTCTTCTTTTCTTCCTTCTTGGTTCAAATACTTGGGTACTGTCTGCCAATACTAACAGATGATCACTATTAAACACTTAGTTGCAAAATTGTGGTTTCAGTGGTCCTACATGTCAATCTTTATTTGCAGTTCACATGCTACCTTGTTACACTTACCTTTCATTGCTAGTTACATGTCTCATACAACCTCAAAGTACCTAGAAAGTTGTACACAGTCCTAACTTGGAAAAACATGTATCAACATATTGAACATTTCCCCCTCCTTCAGTTGCACCCCTGCATGATAAAGCAGCAATACACAGTAAACATGATTCATATTAGTTTTTTGTTTGTTTGTTTTTTATACATAGAAATGATGTAGTTCCACATACCTGGGCATCTGACAACAACATATAGATGGGTGCAGTTACTGTGGATTTTTGGGGGGATACATGTGCACAACAGCCCACACAGAAGTGTTAGTTAGACATAACTGAAGAGGATGAGGACAGAAATGGAAAGCAGAAGGTGCAGTAGATCGTCTATACACAGGTGGATGGACAGAGACAATACAGAGAAGCACTGAACTAGCACAAACAGGATGCTACAAGGACACAACGCTTAAACCCTGCTGCTTACTGTGGGCTCTTGGGGTAGAAAGGAAGAGTGACATGGCTGAGATCCTGGATGTCAAAAGCAGTTGGCTCGGCTGATATAGCCTGCCTCTTGGTCCTCTGTTCCCCCAAGGTGTTGGGACTTTGTTTCTGAGCCTGCTGGGTGGCCGGTTTGATCACAGAACGATACTTATCCAGTTCGTTCTGCAATCTTTGGATGAGCTCGTCTTTCTGGTCTAACTCCAGCTCCAGCTCGTCTATGAGAGCATCCCTTTGCCTGAGCTCCTCTATCTTCTCCTGCAAAGCATATTGCAAGTCCCTCAGAGTGCCCATATTGCCGGCAGGGGCTCCTGCTGCCTTTCCTTCTCCCTTCGTCGTCTTCTCGGTCACTCCAACCCCCCCCAGCACAGGATAACAGCTTCCTACTTTCTCCAACTTTCTTCCAGCACAACAGGTCGTGATCCTCTCTTCTTGTATGCCCTATTCGCCTACAACGTATTCAGACCCCGAGGCTCCGCTGGTCCCCACCACAAGGTCCCCTTCAAGCTTCTTGATCCAGCTCCCTCTCTCCCAAAAAGGTGGCTCTTTATATCCGCCGTGCATTCAAAATCCAGAGTATAGCAGGTCCCCAATTCCCCTTTGTTGGAGTGACTCGACGTCACAGCAGTCTTCAGAGGTCTTTCCACTACTTAGATCCAAATAGGAGGTCCCTGATGCTGTCAGATGCTGAGGAAGATCCACCTTTTCCAATGGTAAACAGATGCCTTTCGCCAAGGAAATTCCCCTGCGCCCCTGGGGGGCACCCAGGTCCAGCACCTGGAGGTCCTGGAAAGTCCCAGTTGTTGAACAGGTCCCCTTCTGCAGGAGTGTAATTACTAGAGTGTGTGGCAGCAGTCACAGACGAACCAGGGAGCATTTGCATGCATGATCTCAAACTAGAAGAAGAAAAAAAAAATCCCTCCCTCTGTCAGAAAAGACTGGGATTAGCTGTGGCAGAGGGGGGTTTCGATCTGTCTGCGTCAGGGCTGCGATGGGAAGCAGTGGAAAGGAAAAGAGGTGCAGAGGCAGCAGAGGCAGCAGCACCCAGCCAGCTAGGAGAGTATGCTGCGGAGTGCAGATATCTCTTCCACTGCGCTGCACTCTCTGCCTCTGCTATCATGGCATAAGAGCTTCCTAATGTCTCTGCAGCCATCACATAGGGGGCTCAGTGCATGTGCCTCATTGTAGGGTCTTCAGCACCAAAGGCTCCTTTACAATGGCATACATTCCCCCTTCTCTGTATCTGAGCACTGGATCGGCACCTTGTCACATATATACCTTGTAAAATATGAACTGTCATTTGTAAGGAATAGATAGATCAGATGCGGCAAGATCGCTTCTCTCATACCACAGTACCAAGCTCTCCTATCCATAAACTGTGGATAGGATTTCTGACCCATCCATGGGATATTTTAGTGGTCAGGGGGGTAGTTTGCACTAATGATCTGTTGCTGGAACTGTATTCTTCCAGATGTGCAATTATATTCAGGATCAGTTTCCATGCCAGGTTGCAACTGTGTCATAACTCGCTGTGAGTTATACCCGGACCGAACAGCCTTAATATTCACTTACTGAACGTCAGGCTGAAATGGATTTATTAAGGCAGTTTATGAAGTGCAATTACCCTACCAGGCTGCCATCTCACGCAATGCGCTCTCACATTCATCTTCCCCGCTCTGTAGGGGGGTGATTGTGGCAGTGACAGGGTTAACCACTCCTTTTAGCGGGGACGTGATGCTGCAATTAACTCCCTGGCTGCTGGGAGGCTTGGCGCAGCATCCCTACAGGTTGCTATGCGCACCAGGCAGAGGATGCTGAAAACAAGAGGGGCTAGACATCCACTGCCTGGGAGCTTGTGGCTTTTACAATGTACAACAGATTTTTTTTGTTACAATCAGCACCTACTAAATTCATTATATGGGACCTGAGCTGCTGTCACTTAACAGCCCGGTGCACATCTGCTCATTTAAAGTAAGACATAACTTGCCCGAAGATAGCGCAGAAAGCAAATTGAAGTGATGCAGATGTAATTCGTGCACCTTCCATAGGCAGCCTAAGAAGAGCGACACCTAGCGGCCAATTACCACCCATACTAAATTATTAAGAAGCCCCTAATCTCTCTTTTCAGTATAGCTGCCTGCGGAGGAAAAATCGTTTTAAAAAGTCAGACGCTTTCTTAGAAGGGCAAGGTAACTAGATCTGAATTCTCAAGTCAAATCCTCAAGCAGAAAGTCTGCATTCCATTAAACATATGTGTCTTATTGCATGCACTGTGGGTTGTGTCCTTAAGGAAACTCTCAGGACATTAGATTCGGTGTTGGCTATTTATTGATTGTTTTTGCTTTTCTTGCAATACACTTTTCTATTATTTATATTGTGGTTCACAGGTCTGTAGCAAGATTTAAAAAAATATTGCGTTGTGGTCAATTTCTAACATATGACAAAGATAAAGTGGACTCAGACAGTTCAAATAACCATTTACAGATTGTACCTTTCTTAGATATCCATTCTATTTGACACCAGAAATAAAGGAAATATATTCTTGTTGCCGGTATCAACCGGCCAGCTCGCAACTTTAAAAGAGAACCAAAGCCAAACTTTTTTGGCTTTAATTCTCTTCTGGGTCAAAAAAGTACACTTACTAATGACCTTCTGTGACCCAAAGTTAGCATATAGTAGGCTACTGCCTGCTGTTTGCTGATAGCGCAGAGCCGCACTGCAGCCAGGAAAGATCACAACAATATTGTAGGGATCCACTCTGTTGCCTGATTGGAAGTTTGCTCTGCCTCTCTAGAGCCAGAGCCAGCTGTGCCTGCCCCCTCTTTTGTCTGTGCCTCCAATGAGCCGGAGGAACAGAGAGGGGAGAATCCCCAGCGAAGATTGTGAGCTGAGCGATCAGCAGTTCCTAATCACTCAGCACTTAAAGCGGACCTTTACCCATATCTGTAAAATAACAACTAGCACACCTTTAGAAATGTTTAGTAATGACAATCTACCAACAGATACGTCTAGATAATTGCCGGCTTTGTATTCTTTGAATGCCTTATTTCTTTTCTTCCCCAGTCTTCTGACAGTGGCCACGTTTACTAAGGGCAGATTACTAGCTCTCCATTTACTTCCCTGATTTCTGGCACATGTGACTAGACATGTGACCACGCACATCATCTCAGGGGGAGAAAAATTAATTTGCCTGAGATCTCCTGAGATTACAGATGAGATTTTCAAGCAATGCTCTGCTGATGACAAGGCAATCGCAGTGTGCATTGTGTTGGCAAACTGAAGTCATTTTGCTCTTTTAAAGCAGGAAGTGAATGCTCTGCAAGTGTAAGTATTTCATAATCACAGCATTTTACACGTGACATGTCTATGTTAATATTAATCATCATACATAGAGATATATATTGGTAGAATTTGATTTTTGAGTGTAAAGGTGCGCTTTAATCTATAGAGATGGTATGGGACGCCTGCAGTATTAGCAAGAGTACATTTTACTCTCCCAATACTTCTCCTTTAATTTCTGCTGCCCTGAATTGGTTGCCTTTGGCAATTACATTTTTCCAAATTGCATTCCTGTACCCTATATGGCTAAAAGTTGTATTTCCTTTTCCTATGCTTCTGAAAGCTGCTATCAGTGTAGACTGCATACAGGCTGAATATAAACAGAGCAATGTTTCTCTACACTAGTTTTGTAAATACAGCTCTCAAAGCATAGAGAGAAAACAAGAGGTTACAGTTTTAAAGGTGGTTGGTGTCCTTTGATATAACAACAGTTGTAAATACTGTGTACTGTATAATCAGGGTACTTTCTACTTCTCTTTTCATATCCGCTGCAATACTCGGAAACATATTAGGATACAAGGAAAACAACTTTAGTTTTCTTTTCCTGAACTCTCATAGCAAAGCTTTTATATGTATCTATTTGTGCACAAGTCCAAAAATGCTTTTGATCGTTTAATATTATAAGCAACATCCATGGGGAATACGTTGCCATACATCAGTTTCTAGGCAGCAGCAGGGAATGTGTGCACAGCACATTCCAGAGAATGAAAAGCACCACTGTTACCCAAATCTCCTCTCCAGCATGAAGGTTGTGCAGGAAGACGTACTGACTGACCAACAGCAAATAAAACAGCTTGGACCTTTATACAGTACATCTCTGTCCCTTCCGCTGTTAGGAAACCCTGAGACAGGTTGTCCAGTATCACTTGTTTACCATATTTAGTCTGTCATTCCTTAACCTCAGTCTTCCCTGATCTTTCTTCCCTGTGAGTAATAGCATTTGTCTAACAAAACAACATATTAAGCAACACCCTTTTCCCTGGCTCTTCTACAACACCAGAAGTGCAGGATTTAAACTCTTTTTATAAGGGTAACTTCTATTTCCTTCATTACAAAGACAAACAGAAGTAGTCTGTTAATGCACTTTTCTCAATCGATAAGCTTTGTAAACACGTACAGATGTTGTATTTCCTCAATTTAAAACCACATGGCAGTTTCCAATAACAAGCCTGCTAGCTCTTTATATATTATATTGGTTAATTAATTTCCAGTGGAAGCATTTCATTATATCTGATACTGAGCACATACTTTTAATAATAGTTATATAATGTAAAAGAAGCAGCATGTGTCACATCCATATCTAGATCATGTTCTTAAATAGATTTTCTACTTTTCCCATAGATTTATCCAATCTTCTTTTTGAACATATTGCTACCTGAAAAGAAATGCTACCGATTCCAGCAACATGTAGGTTTTCATGCTATCGCCGACTCCCCAAAAGGCTCACTCCTGCTACTTCTCCATTGCAGTGGCTGGACAGCTTCAGCATGATATGACATGGATTATAACTGTTTAGAAACCTGCCTACTTCCCAAGGGAACACTTCCCAAGATCATACATTAATTGTCTCTATTTCTTTGTGTTTAAAGTGATATTACCCCAGGGAAAAAAATTTAATTAGCCCTGGCAGTGGGGCTACCCCTGCACTGCAAGAGTTAAGTGCTCATTTGTGTCTAGGTGCAAAAAAAAAAGTTATATTCACCAGACCATCCGAGCCAGTTTGTTCCTAGACCGGTGTCTGGAGTATCTCTCCTCCACTGCTGCAGGGGTCTAAAGATCCTGGTGTCATCACGCTCTTTACACTGTGCATAGACTGTGTATAGACATGAGGATGTCAGGAGCATTTATCTGTGCAGTGGAGGAGTAGACATGGTTCAGTGATCACAGAAGCAAGTAGCGCTCTGATGGTCTGGTGAGTAACTTTTTTTTTAAGCACCTACACAAAAATTACCACTTAACCCTTGCAGTGCAAGGATAGCCCAACTGCAAGGCTTAATAACATTTTTAACTGGAGTGCTTCTTTAAGTGTTAGTTTCCTGCAGAATCAATTAGTTGATCCCTGGAGCTCTGGCCCTGATATTCTGTTCTCGGATGGTTC